TGGACATGACGACGATGGCTTTGCAGGTAGGTTCCCCAACTCCGCGAAGCTCCAATCCGCTTCAGATACCTTCTGTGTCGTACAGCATGCTGTCACGCAGGCATTAGCGTTGACGAGATCAACTCCATGATGAATGAGGCCGGTTCCAAACGGTGAGCTGGATGTGACGTCTTGCGACGTATTGCCATCAAGGTGGATCAAAACGGCGACGGTCGCATGTCCTTTGAAGAGCGCTGCAGCGGCACAGACTTGTCGAGCTTTCTTGGTCGGTCGTATGCCTCGACGTGAGGTTCATGGCTCTGATGGCAGACAGGAAAGAACCGAAGTCAAGGTGCCCTCGCTGGAGTTACAAGAGAGTGGAGTAGGAGGTCTTGTGACAAGCAGTGGTGCAGGACTCCCGAGGAAGGAGAAGGGACATGAAAAGGCCCGCAGGTTGTGACAGACATGTCGGGAAAAGGAGTCGGGCAAGGACTGTTTTCGGGGACTAGGCATCCGTTCTGGCAGGCTGCGGCGGGGCATGGGAGTCCCTGAAGAAGCAGGCATCATAGGATTGCATGAGCTCATTGGGTTCTGACTTCTGAGCGGAATGAGAAGTCAGAAGCCTTTTGACTGTGACTAGGGCCAGTGCAACAGGTGGCCGAGCGAGTTTCCAAAATTTTTGAACACATCCGGAGATCAGAACGAGCAAGAGGGAAGAGGATGCGAGGAGAAGAGGAACGCAACGATGGAAGAGAAAGCTTTCTGGATGTGACTTCTCAGGAGGCAGAATGGTCTCGAAGGGATCATATTGCAGGGCGAGTCGGAAGCCCACAGCAATTCTGCTTGTCCGATGAAATTCAGGCGAGCTTCAGTGGCCCTCTCGCCAGAGACAGCCACGAATTATGCGGTATTTGGCCTCTTGTCTGGCCACCGCACGTTATCAACCGGCCGGGTCAAAGACGGTGTGCAGCCGTCACTCTGTCGAAATGCCGAAGCAATCGGGTGAGTTGCAGTTGAGTGCAGTGTTGAGTGCAAGGAAAAGCTTGCAGCCTCTTCTGGCCACACGTTGCTGGAAGGGGTATGCAGAGATTTCGGCAAAGTGATGGCCAGCTTTTCAAGAAAGGATGCGTCGTTGACATAGCGACTTGCATGCTCATGTTCCGTGCCTCGCGGCTGTGGCGCTGCAAGACTGCACCCCGTCACAGTCGCCAGTTAACGTCTGCTCTGCTTATCAACAGTATCGGAGGGATCAACGCGAAGGTTGCCAGCCGAGACCTTGTTGCCTCACAGAGCACCATCAAGGCAGAAAGATTTCAGCCGGACCGTTTCTCTGGGATCGCAGCGTGGTCGCAGCATGGTGCATCGGTGTCTTTCGGCATTGAAGCAGTTTTGCGTGAGGTCCTTCGCACTTTCCGTTTCAACTTGGCGCTGCAATTGGCTCAAAGACCTTGGCTTGCCATGCGGTTCGTATACAAGAAGACCGAGGGAGTGTACTGGAAGCTCGAAGATCAGAAGGGTTCTTGAATTGCATAATTCATTTTGTGTGTACCCGTTCTGCGGAAGATGGTACCTGCCTCTTAGCGGAGCGATGGCTGATGAGCAAGGTTGGGGTGTTCGGAGATTCTCTGCACAGATTCTTGTGTTGATACTTGTGTGAAGTTCTCGAAGGTTCTCTGGACCTCTCGCTTTCCTCCTTCATTGGAGCAGCTAAGCCTGACTTAAAGCCAACTCAGCTGGTGGTCGTGGAAGAGAAGTTGGGGAAAGTCAGACCCTCGCCATTAGTCAGCTGCCTGCTTGACCACTGGGGCCATCTGCCCTCCGGCCTGAGGTTGGTGTGACGAACGTGCAAGAGCTGGCACACGCCCTGCGAGGCAGGATCTGTGCAGCACACCGTGCCGCTCCATCTCTGCTACGTCGCGCAGCAGGCAGAAATGAAAGGAGTTTGAACAATCGCCTTCGGGCCTGGAGCCAGGATGCTGACTTGATCTCAAGCTCAAGTGACGCCTTGCCCAGGCAGTTGGCGAGAAATGCTTCACATCAGAAACTCTCAGCGCACTGCGGCAACGTGTACGTGAAGAGTCATCTTTGCGTCGCTCTAGGCCGTGTGATCAAAGCAATGCCATGAAGAACGGCTGTGCAGCTTTGTTTGACCGCAGACGGCAGCCGAGTGACAGCTCGAGGGGCGAAGGCTTGGCCGGTGGAGAATCGGATTTCAAGAGAAGCGGACTCAGTTTGCTTGAGCCAAGACGTGCTGTGAGAGCTTTCGTTCCCAGGAATTGGAGCGATGCCAACATCCAAAGAAGGAATGCTCCAGTCGCTGGAAGACCTCGGCCTCGAGGCAATGAGCAAAGGCTCCCGTAGCTGTCGCTTGCTTTTTGTGTCGCAAGGTCTCGAGATGTCAAGTGCGGGAAATGCGCGCAATGCTGCTGGAGGCACGCACCTTTGGGTAGTTATTGGAGTCGAAATGGAGAAGTGTAAGGAGCAACATTGCTACGACGGTGGTGTTCAACTAAGTTTACGGGTGTTTGTGTTCTCGGAAATTGCCTCTGGGACGTACCTGCCAAAATCTGAGCCATCCCACTCCAAACTTTATCCACCGCACGTCTCCATGGATTCAGTGAAACAATGAAAGCGGCACTGGGGACAAGCCAAGCAGTCAAACAGTCGAGAGCACGTGGGCGGCAGTCACCGGCAGGGCTCTGTATGTCACCTTTGGGTAGTGTTCGCACCAATCTCTCACAAGCAAGCCTCCGACGTCGATAGCGGCTCGTCTGCAACAATGTGCTTGACGGAGTTTGTCAACGGGATATCCTAGTTTCCCGTTCTCCTATTCTCCAGATGAACGGTCCTTTTGACTCTGCGAAGAGTGCTAGGCACGGCGACTGTCCTCACTGCAGCGGCCAGATCTCGCAGCCGAGGCTCGTAGGCCTACGCCTAGTTCCTGTCCTAGCTGCTGCGCTTCAATTTCCACGTTTGGCTCAGGTTCGCGGACGGCTTGGCCGGAATCCAGAGCGATCCACAAGCTCGGAAGAATTGATCAGGTCAGCTCTCTTGTGCCTGTTCCTGGCTTTGACGTCTCAATTGCACTTCTCCGCAGGCAGCTACTGGAAGCTTCGTTTCCCGATGCGCTCGAGCCACGTGCTACGGCGGAGTTCGAGAGAAGCAAAAGTGACGAGGAGGACAGCCTCCGCACCGGGACTTGTGTGTTTCAGCCCTGTAGACCCGTGAATCTAAGGGGGTTTAAGGCCCATGAGCCACTCCTTTCAGCCCTTAATTGTGCTGAAGGTCTCAGGTGTTGCCGCTCCTCATAGCATCTGGGGTTTGACAATGTTTGGGCTGTGTTCGGTCTGGATGCTTGGACAGAGTGTTCTTCTCAAGGTTTTAGTTCACCAAAAGTGTGTGTGCATGCCGCCTGCAAGGGAAAGGGTTTCCTGGAGTTTGAAGGGTAGGTGGGTGGGCTTTCAGTGACAACTTGAGAGACGGCTTGGCCTGCAAGTTTCGCGTCCTTGGAAGATGTAGACGGAAGTTTAGGGGTCACCCCTTTCAACCCTGAACCTGCGAAGTTCGCATCACTTGGCTGCAGACACGTTGCAAGCCGGCTCGGTCCTGGAGCCACCCTCTCTGTTTTCTCGTATCCCAGGACTGCTTCACTTTCGAGATCCTTACACCGAGCCCGGAAGCGCTCTCGTTGTCGACGCTCTTCCTGAATTCAGAGGACCGGTGTGACACTTTTGTGGTGATGGGCTTAGCAAGCCCTTTTTACGGTACTATCGGTCGCATGGCTAGCGGGGCTCTAACGCACATTTTTGGTTACGGGGTGCAGTGACTGTGTCCTGTCGGCATGGGGGAGTTACATGGACTGAGCTTGTAGTCTGCACGGAGTTGGTGTGGCAGAGATTCTTCGGGTCAGGGCAGAGTGCTGCAATAAAAGAACTCAGACGCAGATCCCAACAAGAGATGAGCAAGAAAGCAGGCCGCAGAGGTCGTCACTGATGTGTGTACAGAATTTGGTCCTGTGTGCACGGGGGCCTTTTCTCTCCGGTCCACAGGAGTGAACACATGGTGTCTTGGGTGCGTGGGCAGGCCTTCATCCTTATCAACCCTTCCACCTCAAATCCAAGACTCGAAAGAATGAGACTCGAGGATGCCGCTACAATCCCTATCAGCAGATGCACATGGCGTGTCGTTTGGAAGCAACCAAAGTTACGAAATCTTGCCAATGCTGTGTTGGCAGGAAGAACTACGTGGACAGTGTGCGGGCCCATTTTTTTGACACCTCTGGCACAGTTTTCAAGACATTGCCTTTGTCGGACGAGTTTTGAGGCAAAGCGCGTGGTTTGTGGACCGATGGGCTCGAGTGTGAACCTAAGCGCAGCGAAAGCTTCCTGCTGGGCTGTATGCTCTCCGAGCGACAGGTCCAAAAGCAAAGGGTTCCTTGCTGCTCGGCTGTCACATATGGCTGCAAGACCGGACCTGCAACGTGCCATGCATGTGATGTTGCGGTGACATGCCTCAGCCTTCGGACCTCCAGTCCAGACAAGGCTCTTCTCCTAAAGATGGAGAGTCGGAGGGAATACTTGCAAAGCTTGCGCAGACCTTAGATCTCCCCCTCTGTCAAATGACAACGAGCCCTGCACGTCTGGCAAGGCCACAGGTGCAAGACTGATTTGCTTTCCTCCTTGGGGCAGCATCGTTTCGACGAAAGAGGGCCGCGAGTTCGCAGGTAGCTGTGCTGAGCATGTCAAAGCCTCAGCCGCGGGTGGATCAGTAGCCGTAAAGCTCGAGTAAGCATGCAAGACCACAGATGAAGCCCAGAACATCGGAGAGCCAGCAATGCTCGCAAACAGAAGCTACAAGCTCAAGAGGTCCCCGCCCAATCAGCCACAGCTTTGAGAAAGAACTAACCGCTGCGCCACAACTTGGGATATGCGTTGATCGTCGAGGCACCGGTGTCGCGGCGTCAGAGCGGTTTCCTTACCTCCAGGCCTTTCTTCGCAGCTTGTGCAGGCGCTCCCCAAGCGATGGCAGCGCAGGCAGAGGCGCCGAATGTGGCCATGGAGGGCTGCGATGTTCTCATGGTGCCCTACAGGCCCGAGAGTTGCCAGGGTTTTGGCCTTGCCTTGCCTGTGCTTTTTTCGCATCTGTGCACAAGGTTTGATGCCAAGGAGCTGCGCTGGACTCCAACGGGTGCGTCCCTGAGATTTTTTCCGAGCAGCTCCGAGTCACGGTCGTGCAAAGGCGAAGCGGCTGCTGCCGTCAGGATGAGTAGAGAGGCTGGTGCTTTGTGCCTTTTGCTCTAAGCCTCGCTGAAGTTACCGGCTCCTTGTGTCCTGTGGCACAAGGACGCGAAGGATGACACAAGTCTTACTCCCATCACCGCAGACATCAACCACATTATGTAGTGCAAATGTAACTGCGGGCCGAACATGGATGGTTCGTGCACAGTTGGCCTGCCGGCGTGTGGACATGGTTGTTTCTCGTTGTGTCTCTTTGTGCTTGCTGTGACAGTTTGTCGAGCATGCAAGCGAGACTGGGCCAATTAACGCTCGCGATCTCTTCCAGAAGCAGAAGCTCAGATGAACGCAATGATCAGGACAATAATTTGAGGCAGATGTTGGACTGGAAACCGAGACTGGGCGGATTATCGGGCTCACAGCTTGCAACCTTATGGTGCCAGGACCCAAGCCTCGACAACAACTTGACTAGACTGTTCCAGGGCACCGTAGTGTGCAGTTGGAAGGTCATAAGACCAGGACCAGCCCATGACCATCAGACAATGCGACGACAACCAAGGTCATTCACCTCTTTACCAACCCTTTACAGATGCCTGATACCATTCAGAACACTCCACCGCATGTGTGTGCGTTTGCTTGTTTTTTTGTTGAAGGCATCTGGTAGCTTTCGTGCTCGTTTGGCTGTTCCGATTCCTTGACGGTGTCTGCCCTACGACTCCCCGGCAGACGTGTTCCTTTCTCGCGCGTGAGCACGACTTTTGAGATGCTGCCACGAACCGACCAGGATGAACGAGAAGCCCTGCACCCCTCTTGAATGCACAAGTCGTGTTGCTACCTTGAGCTTCAACCCCTGGCCCTAAGACCTAAGTAACTGTCTTGTGACAGTGTAGCAGGCTGCCAAGAGCTGGCGAATCGTTGTGGGCGACCAGGGAGTGCCATTATCCGAGATAAGAAGCGCATCCACCCTTGGCCCGAACTTTTTGGTGCCTCGGCTCCAAGCTTCAACGCGCTTTCTTCCTCCCCTCCGCTGCTCGCAAGAGGACCGTCCTACTTGTCTCCTCAGGTGCTCGACCTGATCAAACACGGTCAGATTGGTCTGCGCTGCGACGACGAGCCGCGGCCCACAAATGGCCAGTGCTTGCCCTCAACCTTGATTGCGGTGCCTGTAGGTCATGGTGTTTCTGAGGTCGGGCCTGAAACAATTTGCCACGGAGCTTTCGAAACGCCGAGCTGTCACTTGACCAGCAGCGGATGCAATTGGTGCTACATTAAAGAGTCCTGGGGCGTCATGCCGCATCTTGCGATCAAGGCGATGCAAGCTAGGGTTCTTCAGGTCATGCACCCTGCACCGAGGATTATGAACGCTTTGAGCAGTACGAGCAGAGCAGAACCTTTTCTCAATTCAGCGGCGAGGGGACGACGGCCGTGCAAAGAGAAAAGCCTGTCTTGACACGGGACATGTATATTTTTCTCATCTCTGTGCAAGATCTCATTCGTTAGAGAACACCTCGGTTTCATCCTTCCTTTTCTGGGTTTGCCCGTTGCCCTGCTGGGGAAACGACTCTTAAGGGACGAGAGCACTGGGACAAGTGCAAGTGTTAACCAAGGCGTCCAAAGCTATTTCCAGTACTATGCCAAGCTGTCCAACCAGCAAAACATGCTGCAAGACAGTGTGCGAACCTCGACCTACCATCGAGCTATTGCCAGGCTCTCGAAAGACAAGAGTTTGGTTCTGAGCCGACTCCGCTGCTGCTCGTACCTAGGTCGAAAACCCCGATGATTTCCAAGGGAAGGTCGTGATGGATTTGGGTGCCGGGAGCGGCATCCTCTCCTTCTTTTCGGTGCAGGCGGGGTGATACATCAGCTAGTTAGTAGCTGGTTCTACCAACTAGTTGAAGCCCTACGTTTGATGGTGTTGAGGCGGAGGCCCAGATCCCCAGTCTTCCGGGGCGCATTCTAGAGCATATTTGTGTTAGTTGTTCTTTTGCTCTGACCGCCTTGTGCTAGTGTTCCCACAGTGAGACCGGGGCTGGTTTGGGACGGTTCAGTCAACGCTCCCTTTCTCTCCTTGTTTCTGTTCGCTGCTGCTTATCTGCGTGAGGCCTAGCTCCGGAAATTCGGAAACAACGGAGAACGGCTCAGGGACTGAATTAGGAAAACTATGCGCATGTCAAGGACCATAAGGACCTCAGGATGGCAACATGGCAGCAATCTAGGCAAGAAAAGCAACGATATAATTTGACGCGTGCAACCGGAAGTCTGCTAAACTCATTTTCGTTTTGAAGTTAGTCTATTGAGATGTCTAAGACACGCCGCCTCGAAACAGAGCTCGGTGTCTCGCATCCATCCATCTGTCTGTGTAGCCGTCCACTGGTCGAACATGATGCTTATCGTCCGACCATCTCGGACCGTCCGGCAACCCGCGATCATGTTGCTGGCTCTCTCTTTCGTGAAGCACGTTTCAAGCGTCTCAAGTTTCACGACAGCTACTTTTTTCGGAGCTTCTCATCAGATTGTCCATGGGTCGGCAGCAGGCAACGGCACGTGCGCGGGGCAAGGAATTCCCCTCCCACCTCCCACCCATATCTTTCGTAGCAAAGACCATCAGGCTCGACGAAAAGGAGGCGAGGGACTTGTTGGATTGGGTTTTGTGTTTTCTCTCTGAACTTGGTTCTGGCGAGCAGGGCATGTCTTGGAAACCTCGTCCAGAACACATGTGGGGATAGTCGTGGAATATAGCTGTGAACCGTTTGCGGGCGGAGGTCAAGGAGTCAAGAACACAGTGTCGGTCGTGTTCGCAGCCAGCCAGCTGCTTTTGGCAAAAAAGAGCATTACTGGTCCCTAGCTTCGTCGCCCTATGCACAATGCATCCGTCAATTCCACCAACTCATGATGTTTTTTTGCCGCTTGTCTATTCGTTACTTTCTCCATTTGTCTTTCGTCCGCTTGTGTGTGGGTCTCTGTGTCTTGTCTATCCGCGCGCGCGCGGGTGTGTGTGTGTGTGTTTGCAATCGTTTGCCTCCTGCCTCCCCCACCACTGTCTTCCTCCTCCTCTCCTTGTCCTTCTGTCCGCATCTTCCTACTCACGGCTTGCAGCTTGAGGCAGGCGCCGAGAAAGTGCACGCAGTGGAGGCGACGGTTTGGCTTTGCCCGCTCCGTCTTGGTATAGGCATGGGCTTTGCCGAGGCATCGTCAATGGCCGAAGTGGTGCGCTTGCTCTCTAACGCGAATCCGTTTTTGACGAAGAAGGTAGAGGCCGCGGAAGTAATTTGCTGGGATCCTCCGAAAGCGCATCAATGATTGAATTGTTGCCAGGTGATCAGCAGACCGGTGGAGACTATCACGACATCCGAGCTCGATGGGCAGGTTCCCGGCACCACTGATTTTTCCAAGGACGGCCTGATTGTCGACACACAGCTTTCGATGTTCAACTTGCAGGTAGACGTGTTGGTGTCCGAGCCCATTGGCACTTTTCTGTTCAACGAAAGGCGGCTTGTAGCATGGATCGTTCCAGACTGCACGGGGTGAGCTGTGAGCACCTTGCAGGATGATCGAGAGCTACCTCTGTGCTCGTGACCGGTTTCTCAAGCCCGGTGGCAAGATGTTCCCGAATGTTGGAACGATCTGCACTGCCTGCATGCTTTCTGCTGCGGACAACCGCGCTAATGTCGGGCTGCAGCGAGCCGGCGAGAGAGCGAGCGTGGAACCGAAGCCAGGTATAGCTCCGTTTTCCGATTCGCTTCTGCATTGGGAGCAGCAGAACAAGCTGCTGAGCTGCATAGCAGAAAGCACGTGCCGGCAGACCCGCAGAACATCGCAGAACCCAGGAACGGCTTCTGGAAAAACACAAACTTCTACGGGATTGACCTCACAGCAGCAGTGCAGCGATGCACAAGGCTGGCTGTGGTTTGGGAGTGTGGACACTTGTGGACTAGCAGGCCGAAGCTCAGGCCGAATTGTTCGTGTTGCTCCTGCAAAGCAGGGAACACTTCCGCCAACCTGTCGTGGACTACATCAATCCAGACTGCCTGGTTTCAAAGTGTATTGAGAAGAGGATCGCAACGTTCAGAGCGTGTTGACATTCTTCTGGCAAACATTTGCACCTTTCCTGTCGAAGGTTCGATTTCAAAACCATTACGATCGAGTCGCTTCATTCGCAGCCTCCTTGGAACGGGACGTCGATGGAACTGACAGCTTCAAGACACTTTTGTCAGGATCGAGATTCCTTTCGACTTTGAGATTTCGCAGCCGTGCCTGGCCAGAGCCTGGGAAAGCTGCACCTTGCGTCGCTTGCATGCCGTGCCGGCGAGGGTTGCTGGGCTGGGCCTGTTCGGCCAGGTGCACGGAATAGCAGGTTGGTTCGATGCTTTCTTCGAGGCCAAAACACCATCGATCTTTCATGGCAGACAACGTCGTGAACTTTTAACAGGGCACCAACCAGACCGTGGTCCTGTCTACAGCACCGACGTGTCCAGGAACTCACTGGTGCTCCCCTTGCCGGAATTGCACAGACCTGTTTTGCAAGTTTTTCCTCCAAGTAATATCAGGTACCAGATACGATTCTTGCTGGAAGTGCCGCTGGCTGTCAACGCCGGTCAGCACGTTGAAGGAACTCTGAAAATGGAGGCCAGGCGGGAGTGCCTTTTCATTAGCCTACTGAATTCCCATTGAGACCTGCAGGCGAACAACTTGCAGTCCTATTACATCAGCATCTACATGAGAATACAGGGGACCTGCTGAGCAATCTTTGGTTAAATGAGTCAAAGCACCGCATCTCCTAGCAGCAATGACTGTTTGCATCCGAAGTGCGATGCGCATGAGGACGAACATATCTTCTTCTGCTCCGTGCATCGATCTGAAGGCCTCCTGCCCTGAGAGATGTACGAGCTTCGCCGCAGTCTTGTTAGTGTCGCTTGAGGATCCCGAATACCGGTTTTATACATCTGCGAATTCGTACTGCCCGCCGCGAACCTAGCAAGCCGTAGCCGGTCGTAGTCGAATTGTGTAATGACCTCAGGCCAGGGACTGGTCAGTCTTTCTGGCGTGTTGCTGCTTGGCTAGTGACTGGCCGAGCTTCCCTGAGCCAGGAATGCGGCTCCGCAGGCTGCTCCAGCGCAGAGCCAGCTACAATACCAGCAGGCCGTGCTTCGTTGAAGATCTGTTTGAGGCGAGGTGCATAGATTGCGCCAGGCTCATTTTGCCCAGACGCAGAACGTCCTGCCGGGACAGGCCCATTCAATCGCAGTTGTCGCAGAAGGGAGTGCGTTGCACGGAAATCGGTCCTGGACAGGCAGCCTTCACCCCGCCGTCTGCTGCTCAGCGATGCTCGGCGATGCTCGACATGGAGAGACTTGGGGGCACATGGCGTTTGGGCCAGGCCTGGGCCTGCCTGGGATGCCTTCTGCTCAGTTCACGAGCTCACCGGTGCCCAGTGCCCAGTTCGGCACGCAGAGGCCCATGGCGCACACGGTGCCCAGGGCGCCCCGCCCAACCCTCGGAGAGAGCGCTTTCTGCATGCCGTGACGCCGTGTAGTTCTCAGCTGCCGAGGATGGGGCAGCCGATGACGAACGGTTTTGCTCCTCACGCCTGATCCACTCGACTGAGATTCGCAGTGTGTCATCCAGAAATATGCACCTGCGTTAGGCACAGTATCATTATCATCGCTTGCTGTATCTTGTTTGGAGTGTGATTGTGCAGCGGACCACTCTGCTGTGCTGAGCGCGGAGAATCGACACGTTCATGCGGATGATGCATTCCTTCCTTTCGGCTCGCCTCGCTCCGTCCTGTTGCGCTTCAAGAATTCGGTAGCCGCCTGGGAGTGTTGCGATCTGCGTGTGCGCAGCATTGTGCAGTGGCATGCAGAGTTTTGCGGGAACTTCCCAGGCACTACCAGTCCTGCGGAGATTTGCGAGTGCCGGAGCCGCTGTATGAAGGTTTTGTAGAGTGCTGATGATTTAGGGTGACCAAGGCTTGAATCTTCCAGTTGAGCATACTCTCTCGAGCGATACCCGGAACCTCTTGAGAGGAGCACCTGCATGCATCTGCAACTTGGGTCAAGGGCACTAAGGGCACGCAGCTTTTGCAAGGAGCTTGACCAAATCCATTTTCCAGTTGCTCACGAGTGTCTTCAACAGACTTTGCGGCTGAGTGAGGCTCGCTATGTTGATTCTATGTCATATTCTATGCTGCATGAGTATGGCAAAAAACTGGAGTGTGTGTGTGTGTGTGTGCACTACCACGGGCATTCTGCTTGCAGGTTTTCCACAATGAAGCTCTTCAAGCCCAGCACCCCCGAGCAACAAATTGAGTCGCTGAGGCTTTGTGTCGGTGCATCGTCGCAGCATGCTGGAGTCTGTACAGCACGAGATGTGGGT